TGCTTGTTGCCACCAAGTGTTGCCTTTAGAGCATGACCATTATTTTGGGTTTGAGGTTTCTTTGAGTTCCTCGCTGATTTTGTGCTGGATTTGCTCCCCAGTAAAGGTGTCTTTGAGGCTTCCTGCTTTCCATCTTCAAAAATTACCTCTGAAATGGTATCATCTGAACGATACACAGGCAATATTTTCGAGAAGGCATCTTCAACTGAGGACTGAGATGGCGATGACCCAAACGGTGACATGAGATCTTCAGTTTCAGAGTCTGGCAATATGCTTGTGACAGTGCGTTTGATTTCTCCAGATGAGGTTTTGATTGTCTTTATTCTGACTCGTGGGATGGCTGGAGGCGAGCCAGCAGCGACAGCTGGAGATGCTTTACCACTGCTGTCACTGCATATACTCATTGGGCTGTCAGGCTGTTTCGTGAAACGTTTCACCACCTCCAGAGGACTTCTTGGGCTCCTTGGTGATATTGGTATTTTTGGACTAATTTTCATGGACTCTTTTGGGGTAACTGGGAAATCCTTTGAATTTGTTTGCCCACCTGGATCCTTTTTAGCATTCAAGGCTGCTAATGCATCAAGGCAAGAGGATAATCTGAAGCTGTGAGCTTTGACGCATAGACGGGAAGAAGAAATATTTGTCTCAAGAGTTGGATATGCATTTGTTTCACAATCTTGGATGCTGTCACTCTTAGTCTCAGAATTTTGTTCAACCATATCGTCTTTGAAAGATGAGCCATCACACCCAAGATCATCCACACCTTTTGAACCAGGAAGTCTTTCATAGCACGATAAGCAGGATGCATCTGGTTTTCCATGATTGTCTAAAACAGGAAGAGGTGAAGATGTAAAGAGTGAATCAGATAGGAAGTACGAGGTCTCTGCAGATTTTGGACGGTCATCGATTCCATTGCTATGAATGTCTTCAGATTCTGGGCTGGATATAGGGCTAAACTGAGGCATAGACGCTGATAGAGAGGGAACTTTTTCATTCTTGTAGAGGACAGGAATCTTTTCCATGGAACGTCTTGAGCAGTCTCCGTTGACAGAAGAGCTATCCAGTCTTGGATAGATGGAGGGATGTGTCTCCAGTGAGCCTGCAGAACTTTTGAACCCATTTTGTAAAAGGTGCCCCAAATGAGAGCTCTCCTTCTCTACAAGATTTTCATAGGAGTTCTGGCGGCTAGTGTTCTTTACTATAACACTGACAGCAGGGGCATCGGTTGTAGGCACTGGGTGAGGGATCAAAAGCGTGGCATCCATACACATCTCCGAGTGCTTAAGGTGTCCCTCTCCCTCATCTTGATTCCCGTGAATAGCCTCTTTGGCATCCAAACTGGTTGCATCAGGGATGTCAAAGGCAGCCAAGAGATCATCAAAATCAGGGGTCTTCATATCACCCATGATTGGAGATTTTCAAAACCTGAAGCAAATATATGAAGAGAGAAATAAATCAATACATATGCAGGCCACATATACGTAAAAATTGTAATACTAGAATTAACAGGCATAAACCCACATCACATCTTAATTTCACATTCAAGATTTAACTGCAATGATGCTAAATGCAGAAAGATTGAATTATAATCACCATTTGATTCCTGGTTTATTCATGTCAGCAGTTGTTGGTATCCATCAGTTTTGGTCCTGTGCACCTTCATCTGTATTGCACTGACACTTCCAGGAACTTCCATAGTAATGGTCCAGCCAGCTCAAAGACTTGTTTATGGAAACATTAACTCCTTTCAAAGCATTTTAACATTATAATACTGTATTGGACATAATTACACTCCTGTTTTTTCTTCCAGCCAGTCAAATTTACATTTAAATTAGTGTAATTAGACTGTCACCCTCGCCTAAATTAGTTTAACAAAAATTGTCGGAGAATTTGTTTTAGATCGACAGAACACCTTTTTACAGGCGTTACGTAAATAACAAATAGCATTAATTGGAAGTTATGAGCTTTTTGTAAGAGGATGTTAAAGAGCTAGCATTAGCTCATAGGCTAACTGATAAAAACAAACCTTCGCCAAGCTAACAAAGCCCTTTAAAAACATAGCTTACGGTCAAATTGGCAATACTTCACCCCGTTACACATGACATGTCATTTTATATATGTTTTATAATGTTAATACAGATGAGAGAATATTTATGAAGAAAGTGAAGCGGTTCGTATTGACAGAAGCTTTAGCTGTGCACTCGGGTGCGCGGCTCTCTAACGTTAGCTGCTTGCATCCCAGCGCTGTAAATAACGCAAACCTGCGGTTATAGTAGAACAGTCTGCGGGTATACAGCCAAACACGCTTTTAAAGCAACCTTTCAAACGCCATGCAAGTCAGCGTAAGGTGTGTTTGATTTGTGAGGTTTATAAAAGCGACTTGTTTAGCCGCCGTCTGCTAGCTAACAGCCCTCTCTCCTTCCTGTGTGCGCGAGGACTCCCCGCTCAACTCCACACACGGGCCGTGGCTCAAATCCCGAGAAGCTGCCTACATAGACAGCATTTTTGGCCATCGTCCCCGACCATTTAGAAGACGCAAAAATGTGGCGCAGGCACGGACAAATAGTGATGTCTCTTCAAACAACAATGAAAGAGCAACTATTTCATATATCCTTTATAAGGGTATTTGTTTTTATGGATGGGACAAACACTCTGGAAAAAGTCGTAATTAAAAAAAAAACCGCATTACAAAGTAATTTGTCACGGCCATTGTCTCTGTATTAGGCATTAAAAATAGTAGCCTATATAAGTAGCCTAACCAAATAAGACCCACTTAGATTATTATTATTATTATTATTATTGTGTCACTAAAAGTCTTGTCTGTTTGTTTAAATTGTTGTTCAATATTAGCAATCTTAAACCTTAACCTTAAATCTGAAATTTTTCACAATTTATAGCCTATTTTTTGACAACACTATTATTTATTTATTCAGATTAGCTATAGATTAGATAGGTATAGACTTTGACAGGGTGGAAACACATTCTACCCTCTGAAAACATATCTCTCTGAAGAAACTGCCAAGATAAAGGTAGGTAGGATTAGGGTTAATTTGTGCTGATAACACATGTATATGTATTTATTTTCTATTCACTGGAATTGTCAAAAAGACTATAAAATAGATACTGACTATAAAAGCAGGGTTGAATGAGCAGTCAAATTCTGTAATGAATTACTGGTCTTTTCACTCTGAATAAATAGGCCTACTTATTGTGCAAATACATGTATAGGAAAAAAAATCACTAGATGAATTACTTCAGACCTGGGTTCCTTTGCCTTTGAGACAGTAGAAACAGAGGTCAAAATGATAATAAATTATCACGATTTTTTAATACACTAACTTCATATTATATCTTTATATAAAGATAAAATAAATTTTAAAGTTTGACATATAACCATTTTTTTTGTAGACCTAGTTGAAGATCATTTTAATAATCTGAAGAAACTTTTGTACATTGGAAAGTTCATTGAACCATAGATGCCAATATATATATATACAGCATATATATATATATATATATATATACATGCATGATTATTAGAATGGTTAAATCACAATACCTTCAGTTTGTGGAGAGGACACATAAATGTGCAGAAAAGACTCATGACTGCTTGCTATAAAAAAAAAAAACACATAAAATGTCTTAATGAATAACTGTTAATGTGTTTTGTACACACTATACCTTCAATAAATTCAGTGATGCACACTGCGGTCTTTTAAGCTGTGAGTTTGCGTCATCCTGTGTTAACTAAAAGGTATTAGGCACCATTTAATTTTCCATGAAAACAGTCACAGATTCCACATATTGTCTGATGATTGTATTTGATTTATGGATCCTGTAAAGCATTCTATGGAGTCAGGCATAATATACCATCATAAAACTTCAGTTTAGGGTCAGGCAGACTCTACATTTTACATGGATTTCAAGATGAAATCGAATCAAATTGAATAAAAATCACATTTATGTAAAGCTGGATATTGTGCATCATCATATAGTGTACAAAGACAACCTTACAGAGCATAACTTACAATCAAATCATGCCTTTGAGTAAATGTACTAGTAAGTTCTGAAAAAAAGGTTATATGATTAAGAATATAGGATTAATAAATTAAGAGGAGATTAATAATTCTCCATATATTAATAGTAGTAGCATATGCTCAGATTGCTGCCAGTGTGTTTTGTTAGTGATGTGTTCTGAATTCAGGCATAAAACTGAATCATACTCTACAATGTGCAACAGTGGCATCTAGCGTCCTAATTGTATAAGGATGGTAGTTTTCGTACACTTAACCAGCGATGTCTAATTTTGTTTTAAATTATATATTTTGTGTTAAATTATATATGTAACTCTGCCGTTCTGTGACCAGGGGTAATTAAAATCTTCTATGATTTACTGTAGATATTTATTAGAACCAGAGAGTCGGGCCCACTGATAAAAATTGTGTCCAATTGAATCCAAACCATGACCCTATTGCTGCATACATTAAACTGAAGACCTACTAATTATAGGAAATCTGAAAATTCTTGAAAAAGACAGGTATATATTGTGTTTTTTTATTGGCTAGCAGGGTTTATCAGGCTAGATTTGGGCTAGTTTTGTTGATCATTGAGTCATTGAGCTCTCAGTGTCTTTTATGGATGTGAATGATAATACTGGCCCCCTCCTCCCCTGTTCACCATGTAACTCTGCCTCTGGGACGGCCATAGAATTGCAGGCCCTTCGTTATGTTACATTTTTTATTCCTGACAGTTTGTTTTCTTCTACACTTTGTATCTTGTTTGTATCTGGAAATAAGGAGGAGCTTCATTGCAATAAATGATAAAAAGATGCTGTTTCATGACTACTCAGAGTAGTCATCCCTGACTAGCAATCTGATAGCAACATGCAAGTGTTATAAATAAAAACACATTAGTATGTAGTTAATTAATGATAAGATTTCCAAGTGGGCAGAGTATATATCCCAGCTCAAGGTTCAAGACCAAGCAGTTGTCACAGAGAACGCAGAATGAGTAAGCCATTTATTTACCTCTCCATTCTTTAGATTGATTCAAACTGTTATTTGAACAGGTGGCTTTTGCCATGGTTTGAATAAAGGAGGTGTCGATTTCATATTTGTGCGTATAGTTAATAATTGTTTGGATTAAATGTGGATACGGATGTGTTTTGAAACTCGCAGCTCCTAAGGAATTGTTGAATCAATGTTCATTAGAGCTGGTAAAAAGTTTTCTGATTCTTTCTTTACAGCAGACAAAGACGATTTACAGTTGACAACCATCTCATGTGGGAAAGAACAAGGGGTGGACAATCCAGCATTTTTTAAGGTAGGCTTGGGAAAGTGTGAGGAAGTTCTCTAAAAAATGTTAACAAATGAAAAATATTCTTTTTTTTTTTTATTCTTAGGAGGATAAATTAACAGATGACCTTAGTGACAGTGACAAAGAGGAGTCAGAGAAGGAGTCAAAATCATGCCTAAGGTGTGGTTGTGAATCTAATCTGTAAATACGACGTCATTAAGATTTCATTATCACATTATTTGGAAATGAGATTCCTTTGCAATTACATAATATCATCCTAAATAAGAAATATAGTCAAAAATGTAAATGCTTCGATTCTGTGATTCATGATTCTGCCAATCATGCTGTAAGACTTCACATGTGCAAGGTCTTTCATTGTTGACCACAGCAAAGCATGCATACCCATCACGGCCACAGAGACCTTCTGCAAGACACACTCCAAAATAATCAAATACATTGCTTTGGGAATACTTGCTGCAGGTAAGCAAGATTTTCATCTTCCCAGTTTTATATCTATTACTGTTTTTAATTAAACATGGTGATACATTATCCATCTCAAGTGGACAAGGTGCAATATATGCTTTGTGTTTTATATTGTAGGTTATTTAGCATACTTCATTGCTGCGGTTTATCTGGACTTTCAGAGGGCAATTGCTTTGGTTGTCCTCACTTGTCTGGGGGTGTTTATCATCGTGTGTGAACTGGTGAATAAGTACAAGGGTGACAGCATAAGGAGATTTTTCAAGCCTGCACAAAGGTGTTTCAAATCCAATATCAGATGGATAAAATGGTGAGTATGGCATTTTAATATACTACTGTTCAAAGGTTTATGATCTATTTTTAAAGTTTTTGCAAGACATCTCTTATGCTCACCAAGGCTGCACTTTATTTGTTCAAAACTACAGTAAAAACGGCAATATTGTGACATTTTTAAAATATCTGATTTCTGTTGCTATATATTTTAAAATATAATTTATTCCTGTGATGGCAAAGCTGAATTTCCAGTTTTAGTGTCACATGATCCTTCAGAGGTTATTCTAATATGCTGAAATTTCTTATTATTATCAGTGTTGAAAATAGCTGTGCTGCTTCTCAGATGTGCTGAAATTGAAATATTTTGTAACATAATAAATGTCATTACAGTCATTTTTCACCAATGTAGTGCACCCTTACTATTAAGGAATTATATTTTAAAAATCCTACTGTCCCCAACCCCAAACACTTGAATATAATTCAAGTGTATAAATATAAATATAATTCTAAATATAATTCAATAATGTATATAATTAGTTTGTTGGAATGGTTTGGAGGTGAGTAAAAGATCTGTTCAGAAGAGAACCATTCCCTCTGGAATTTCCTATGCCCTTTTAGAATAGTGTGTTTTATTAGCCTGCTGCAAACAAGTTGACACTGTACATAATGCACCACACTGTAACTAGCACAACAATGTGAGCTATGCACTTAAATAGCAACTTGTTAGCTACTTATATTTTTAAAGGTCACAAGATTCATGTTTGAGGTTTTGACTGTGTGTAATTGTTGTAGAACAAAACAGCAAAATCAGTCTTTACCACAGACTCTAAAAGCATTGGTTTTTCAAAAAGGTTGAGAACCACTGCTCTAAATATAATAAAATGGGCAATATGTGCTTTCAATACAGGGACCATGATTATACACATGCGTCATATGTATCTCTGTATGTTGCAGGGTGTTCATAGTAATTGTGGTGGGCCTGCTGGTGGCGTGGCTGGCAATCGACACACGAAAGCGCCCAGAGCAGCTCATCTCTTTTGGCGGTGTCTGTCTATTCGTTATTGCCATATTTCTCTTCTCTGCACACAGAACTGCAGTGAGTGATAAAACACACACCTGCAAACAGTACATGCTTTATTGAAGGTGCTTATCTCTTTAAATGTATTTTTTTAGACTTTGGATTTCCTACAAACCTTATCAGATTGTTGAGGTTACACCTATCATTTCCCAACAATAAAACAGTTGTAGACGCTAAAGGAACTTTAAAAAAAAAAAAATTGTTTAAATTAATTAATGTGGTTGTTAACGAAAAGGTTGTTTGCGTTGAATTCTGATTAGGTGAGCTGGAGGACAGTCTTCTGGGGACTCGGTTTACAGTTTGCCATTGGCCTGTTTGTCATTAGGACAGAGCCTGGTCTGTTAGCATTTGAATGGCTTGGAAAGCAAGTTCAGGTATAATATAAAGCATCATTATTATGATTTTTATTAAATTAGAAAAATGCAAAACAGGAGCATTTTTACATACGTTTGAACACCTCTTTATTGTGTAAACTAATATAATGTCCATCATACTTGCAAAGATATAGCTCTCTAAATGAAGTTAATATGTTACAGTCTGTGGTAACTTATTAAAACAAAACAATAATGAATGATTATTTGAACTACAAGAGAGAAGGAGAAACAGAATATTATGGTCTTTCTTTTTTTTCAGATATTTCTGGACTACACAAAAGCTGGTTCATCATTTGTGTTTGGAGACCTCATTGAGAACATATTTGCTTTCCAGGTTAGTAATGAAGCGTACTTGACATGAAATGCATGGATGGGTTTATTTTTACTATTGAATGTTGCTCAATACTCACAGGCTTTGCCTATAGTGGTGTTCTTCAGCAGTGTAATGTCAGTGCTGTACTACCTGGGTGTCATGCAGTGGGTCATCACAAAGGTAAAAGTGACTAAGTCAAGTCTTATTTTCATTTAACCTATGAGAATTTCAAGAGATTTTCTTCATATGAATGCATTAATAGTGTATTTTTCTGTGCCAAGATTTCCTGGGCAATGCAGGTAACGATGGGAACCTCCTCTACAGAGACTCTCAGTGTGGCAGGGAACATATTTGTTGGTCAGGTAATATTCTGTCATCATTACTATAATATACTCAATTATTGAAAAATTCAATTCAATTCAGTTCAGCATGCAACATTATATATGCTCTCAAATGACCTAAAAACATTTTGTGACCAATTTAGATGTTTCTTATAAGGGAGAAGATCCTTTAAAAAAAAAATCTAGCAATTATATCATTTTGGAACAATGCATTATTGATTGTAATGTTTTTATTTTTTTCTAGACCGAGGCGCCGCTCCTGATTCGTCCTTATTTGAAGGACATGACCAAGTCTGAGATTCATGCTGTCATGACTGGAGGATTTGCCACCATTGCTGGGAGTGTTATGGGTGCATTCATCTCATTTGGGGTACGACAACATGCACTTCATTTCATTATAAAATTCCAAAGCTGGAATGGCAAAAAAAAGTTACAAATGAATGAGTTTAGCTGTTACCACAGTATGTTATGTTCTTTATGGGATAATAAATCTCCTTTACACAGATTGATGCCTCATCTCTGATTTCTGCATCAGTGATGGCTGCTCCATGTGCTTTAGCCATCTCCAAACTATCCTACCCTGAAACTGAAAAGAGCAAGTTTACGTCTAAGAGTCAGATTAAAGTTGACAGCGGGTGGGTTATCCTGTCAAATATGAACTCTAGATTTCTAGAAGAAAAAAAATAGGTATGTTTCATATTATTATTATTATTATTATTATTATTATTATGTATGTGTGTGATCAGTGGTGAACAGAATGTCTTGGAAGCTGTCAGCGGTGGCGCATCTGCATCAATAGGACTTGTTGCCAACATCGCTGCTAACTTGATTGCTTTCCTCGCCATTTTGAACTTCATAAATGCTACACTCAAATGGATGGGAGGCATGGTGGGATACCCAGAAGTCACTTTTGAGGTGTGTATTACCCGATCCTGAGTGGCTTCTTTGATATTCAAGATCATTATATATATATAGTGTGTTTGTGTGTGTGTGTGCGTATTACCGTTCAAAAAAGTTTGGGATCAGTCAGACTTTTTATTGTTTTTGTCTCTTGTGCTCACTGGGGCTGCATTTATTTGATCAAAAATACAGTAAAAACAGTAATTTTATGAAATATTATTTTAATTTAAAATAACTGTTTTCTATTTGAATATATTTAAAAAAGTAATTTATTCATGTGATGGCAAAACTGAATTTCAGTAGCCATTACTTCCGTCTTCACAAAACATTTATATTTTTGTGGAATCCATAATACATTATTAACTTCAGGATTATTTGATAAATGTAAAGTTCAAAAGAACAGCATTTATTTGAAATAGAAATCTTTTGTAACATCATAAATGTCTTCACTGTCACCTTTTGTTTAAATTAATGTATCCTTGCTCAATAAAAATATTAATTTCTTCTTCTTCTTCAAAAAAAAAATCATACTGCCCCAAACTTTGAACTGTTATGTACTTACATGTTACATCAAAAGGAAAAAGTCATAATCATCATCCTACAAATCTTTATATTCAGAAGTGTTTTAAAAGTGTTGTTACCTTCAAATCCTCAGTTGATCTGCTCCTATGTGTTTATGCCGGTGGCCTTCATGATGGGAATTCCATACGAGGAGTCTTTTACAGTAGCTGAACTTATTGGCACTAAACTCTTCCTCAATGAGTTTATAGCCTATGAGAAGCTGTCAGAGCTCAAAAACAACAGACTTAATGGCATTTTAGAAGATGATGGAGAGAAAAATTGGCTCTCAGTAAGTATGTATGTAATAATACATAATGTATGTAATGTATTTATGTTAATAAACATAATAAATAGTCAAATGCATAATCTGAAGTTTGTCAGAAGCATTAAAGTATATGTTGTCCAAACTACTTGCAGGTTCGATCAGAAATCATCTGCACCTATGCACTGTGTGGCTTTGCTAATTTCAGCTCTCTTGGTATTGTGATCGGAGGCCTGTGTGAGTATCTATTCAAAGCACTTGCTTGAATGATTTTAAGTGCTAACAGTATAGCTTATGACTTCTTATCCCCATTGTTCAGTATCACCATTTTTATAACATATCATTTACTGATTATTATTATTATTCCCCAGCCTCTATTTGTCCACAAAAGAAGAGTGACATATCTACTTTAGTGCTCAGAGCCTTGTTCACAGGCACATGTGTTTCCCTGATAAATGCCTGTATTGCTGGTAAGCAATCTGTAATTATTCAAATCTGTGTTTTAACTTTAGTCAAACACATCAAATCAACTTCACAGCTTTATCACCACACGGCATTAGGTTAAGTTAGCAGACATTTTTATTCAAAGCAACTTACATTACACATTAGATGGACAGTCTCTATAAAGCCTTGCTCAAAAACAGAAGAGTGATGGGAACATATCCCACTGCGCCTCCTCGTTCCACTTGCACTCGGCCGCCAGGGTACGAAACTCGATGGAATAATCAGAGACCGAAAGAGCACCCTGGCGTAGTTTCGTAATATTGTAATGCATTACTTTTAAAAGTAACTTTCCCCAACACTGCTTTAATCTAATATCAGTTACCAGCACAGATGAACTACTATGCCACAGCCCCCTCACCTGCTGGTTTTGATTAAGTACAATCTGGTTTTGAGTTAAATTTAGTATTGTTCTACCTGTAGGTATACTTTTCGTCCCTCCGTTGGACTGCGTGGATGTGTTTCAAAATGTCTTCAATACAACTACTCCCAACATTGAAACTTGCTGTAATGATCTTTTTGAAAGGTAAGGACAGAGAATATTGTTGTGTTGTCGTCAACTAAAAGCACTCAGGACTGAAATGTTTAAAGGACTAGTTCACCCAAAAATGAACATCCACAAGTAATCCACGTGACTCCAGTCCATCAATTAACATCTGAAGGGAAAAGCTGTGTGTTTGTAATAAACAAATCACATCAAGGCGTTTTAACTTTAAACTGTTGCTTCAGACTAAAATACGAGTCTTCTATCCATAATATTGCTTTCTTCAGTGAAAAAAGAAATATGCATAGATCAAGCACTGTTTAAAAGCAAAAACAGTTTTAAACAAATACGTTGTTGGATTTTTGGACTGGAGTCTTGTGGATTACTTGCAGATTATTTATTATTTATCATCTGTTTGGACTCTCATTCTGATGGCACCCATTCACTGCAGATGACCCATGGCCTAAGGATGAGAGAATTTTCAACTAATTGTAAATTTTGGGTGTACTGTTCCTTTAATCTAGGAAATATTTACAAGCACTGTTTAAAAGCAAAAACAGTTTTAAACAAATACGTTGTTGGATTTTTGGACTGGAGTCTTGTGGATTACTTGCAGATTATTTATTATTTATCATCTGTTTGGACTCTCATTCTGATGGCACCCATTCACTGCAGATGACCCATGGCCTAAGGATGAGAGAATTTTCAACAAATTGTAAATTTTGGGTGTACGGTTCCTTTAATCTAGGAAATATTTACTCTACAGACTGCATCAGTGTAAATGTTTGTTTGTTTGCAGCACTATCAACAATGGAACAATTTATTTCGAGGGGTCCTGGAGTGGAGTGAAAAATGCAACAATTTATTTTGCAAACTGTTGTGGCCTCTTTCAGGAATCTGTTTGCATGTAGTTTGGCCAATAATGATACAAAAATGCAGAAAACACCTCTGAACTAAATATAATGACATTATTTATTAAATTCACAGATTTTAAATGTATGTTAAGTTAATATATGTATATGCTGAGTATATTTGATTTTATTTGGTCATTTAGCTATTCATACATCATTTCTTTATTGTTGTAACACAATGTGTTAGCAGTTAGCGCAATGCAAAAGTATTTTTATGTTCTGTAAATGCTGTAAATTTAATTCAATTTGTGTTGTTCTGTCTTAAATGTTATAATCATTTTTCTAATTTACATCCAGTGATGTGACAGATATTAAGACATAGTGCTCTGCAATGTTTTATTCTGGTGGTTATGCTGGAATTGCAGTGAAAACACGGACTATTGCATTACAGGAGCCAATCAATAAGGGCCAAAGGGCTCTTTGGTCAGGCAGGCAGTTTTTAAGATATGAAGGTAAAATGAGCCAAAGAAGTATCTGCTGTATTTACACATTTATTTTACAAAAACAAATAACACAACGCAACAAAAACACTTAAAATGTTTATCCTTACAAACATACCATATACTGCTAATCTCCTCTCTCTAATACACTACACTCCATATCATTTTTTATAATATAAACCCCTACACAGACCAGAGTATGCCCTTATGCCATATCATATCTTATAATTTCTGACCACTATCTGTGGTAACCTTTCATATACATCTAAACAAGTAATTCATGGATATTTTATGAGTTTTTGCAGTTAGCACCCGCCATTTCTGCTAAATCTTGTGAACGGTGTAAAGGGTTAGATAGCTACATTTATTTATTTTGGTTATTTTTAATTAACATACATTTCAAACTTTCAAAACCTGTAAACACTGAGCATTCAAAGGTTTGGGGTTTTTGAAAGATGTCTCTTATGCTCACAAAGGCTTTATTCAATCAAAAATACAGTAAAGACAGTAATATTGTGAAAATGGTAAAGTAACGTTTTTCTATTTGAATATATTTTCAAATGTATTCCTATGATGGCAAAGCTGAATTTTCATTTTGTGCTGCTTAATATTTTTGTGTAAACTGATTTTTCCTGTTTTTATCAGGATTCTTTGATAAATAGAAAGTTCAAAAGAACAGCAATTATTTGAAATAAAAATCTTTTGTAACATTATAAATGTCTTTATTGTCACTCTTGGTCAATTTAACGTATCCTTGCTTATATTAATACAACTATTAATATCTGACCCCAAACTTTTGAACGTTAATATATATATATATATATATATTCCATTTGTGTGAAGTTGGAGGGTTCCAGAGACAGATGACGCATGAAAGGTCAGTAGCAAAGTGAAAATAGCAGCATTTTTTTAGTGATATGCTATTTACACTAAGTGCAAATAGCTATAGATTCTATTTACACTGTTAAAATAGCAGGATTTATGTAGTATTATAAAACAGTATGCAATAACTTATTGAGTGTAAATTTTAATTCAAATTATTAAATGGATGCCACCTTATTGGGACCTTCCTACACCTACCCTAACCCTACCCATTACTTTATTTTCAACATTTTAATTATTTTCTTCATTTTTATTGAAAATAAATGCTTTTCTGATGTGATTGAAAATTTTGAAAAGGGAGAAAAAAGTTCTCCAAAAGGTGGATTCGGACCCGGGTCGATCGCGTCAAAATGAGCACAACACACATTTTTCCATCTGCGCCACTAGAGCTGATGACTCTCTATCGTCTTTTGTAATGTTGACTATCCCAAACACACGTTGGTGGGCGAAGTTAGTGCAAATAGCCTCTGCCAACAAGGTGTAAATAGACACTCTGCATAATTTTCCCTCTTCTAGGAGATACATTTAAGATAAAAACTCATCTGCATTGATTATGACACTAATACTTTGCCTGCATACAACCAATATCGGTGCACTGGTGTTGCAGATTAATGGGCATAACCCTTAAAAGCAGAACAATCCACTATAAAAAGCACCTCGGTGACAGCTGCATTTCTACACAGCTGAAACACATACATCACAGATGTTTGAGGAAACCTCGAAGAGTCCCTCTCTCACGGTTCCTCAGACATATAAACTTGACATAGGAACATTTGAGTAAATCATAACAAAGTTCCAGAGTCTATCTGAAAACACTGTTCATCCATCTACAGGCAGCCTGGGTTTTGTATTTTTCTCCAGTCTTAAAAAGGTGATAGCTTCAATTCAGCTCTTAAAAATAAAGTGAAGGTTCTCTCAGGAGGTATTAATGGTGACTTATAGCTGCAAAGCAGTTCACAGTAATATTAAAAATGGCCAAACACCTCTGGTCATTCACCCTTTTACTATCCTTGTATCTATATAGCCATTTCTTCCTTATTTGTTGCATTTTAGACACTGTGCAAAGACAATGGACAGAATCCATTTACAGGAAGCCACCAGTGCTGTACAACAGTAGCTATAGATAATTATACAGGCTCCAAACTAAAGTTTGGTAAGAAAATCAAAAAGCATGCCCTAGTTGCTTTGCGTTTGTTTCCAAGAGTTCTAGTCCTTCTTTCTACCTCATCCTGACAGGTTTTGGGACCTCCACAGCTTTGTGTTTGGTGGTGGAATTGCTCTCCCCAGCTTCACCTGTCTTTTTAACCACTTTGGGGCTAGACGTGCCTTTCCTGGTGGACTGTGGGCTAGTTCCTTTCTTCTGAAGCTGAGGGCTGGATGAGCCTGTTACGCCCCTCCGGGCCAGTAGAGGGCTCCTGGAGGTCTTTATTTTAGGCTGCTGTAGAGATTCCACTGGCTTTAAGGGTCTTAGGCTCAAAAGTCCACAGTAGTAATTACACTGATGTTGAGTAATGAACTGCTCGATTATCTTTGGAGATCCTTTATCTGTGAGGCCTTGATACCTGCAGAAGACATTAAAAATATTAGTCGCTCCAAGAAAAAACTGAAGAAGAAGTGGAAATATCAGAAAAATGGGTAAACATGATAATCTCATAGTAAAATATACCAACCCTTTAGACTTAGTAACAATTTCAATGCTTGTAATCTTTGTATCAACACCTGAAACACACAAGAGTTTATTTTATACTATTATATGGTTATATTTTATGCATACATTTAGGAATATTTTAATATATAGTACTTAGCAACTTACTCATAAGTACATGTGAAGCCTTCTTACCTTCTGTCCGGGTAACCAGGAGGTTTCCATTGGTCCATTGATGGATCCAGTGCTGGAAAGTGCAACACTTCTGCTCCACCTCAGAGGTGGCTCTGGCGATCAGTCTCCCTGTGCTGTCCATCAGACAGTATTTCACATACACGCCCTTCAGGTCAGTCTCTACTGTAGCATATGGAATTGTATTGGCGGGCCGATACATCAGATGAAGGGGGATGACTCTGAATTGATTCAGAGAAGCAAAGAAGACTGATCATTTTGACATTATCTCTTATTTGTATCCATATGCATTACATAGAAATGTCTTTCAATCAATATTACTTCATAGAAAAGAATTATAGATCTCAAATAGTCATAAAATAAGTTACAAATTATTGGCACTTCAGAGCCAAAATAGCAATTATTAAAATTTTTATAGATAGCAGTTATTATATATATGTGTACACACACACACACACACACACACACACACACACACACTATAATTAATTTAATGATTGCTACATTTTATAGTAATTGTATGTGTATAATAATATAATTATATTTATATATATGTGTGTGTATAATAATATTTTATAGATAGCAGTTATTATATATATGTGTACACACACACACACACACACACACACACACACACACACACATATGTGTAGAGACAGTAGTTTGAAATAATATTGTATTCCATGACCTACTCTAATGAGAATCCAAAGTTCTCAATCACTCTGGCCTCAGCTGCAAATATTTTGCTGTACTCCCGAACGGTATTTTGGATTTTACAGTCCTGAGGATAAGAAAAGGATTAAAAAAAACTTTTTACTTGAAAAATACCCAAACTGAAAATCATTGTGGTAAAAATTCCTGAGCTGCTCTTTTCCCAAACAATTATAATACAAGCTCCAAAAAGACAGCAAAAACAAGAGTATCAAAAAATGAAGGTATGACTTGTGTGATAATGATTGAATATTTCAAATAATTTTCACAGATTCACAGATCAAATCTCATTGGTTCTTGCCACATCATGATCAGTCACAAATGTACAAGTTTAAAAAATATAAATAAGGTTTTAGAACTTTAACATTTACCATTGAACTGACCAATTTTATGATACTTCTTATGGTACTTTTTGGAGCTTGGCAGTATAAATAACCACTTTCCTCAATGTTTCCTTTTTATGGTTTTTGCTATGTCACTATGAATTGAATTGTTTAATGTAAATTGTGATCCACTAAGACTCTAACCTGTTTGGTGATCTCTAGATTTCTCTCGACCAAGTTGCTCTCCTCCTTGGCCCCATATGTGATGGGATTTCTTACTTTAGTGATGCACGTGCTGCCTGACTCAAAGACAGGGTCCAAACCATAGATGACCTTAGCCCTGCAGGTCTTGTGCACACATCCCTCTCCAATCTGAACCTCCGCTGTCATGATGCGACCAAATAATTTATCACCCCAGTATCCCGAGTCTGCCAGGCCTTTGGTGAACATCATTGATGTCATCTCAATCTCTTCCCCAACTGAGAAGACAGAAATATAGTATAGAAAATTCAATGTAGGTAAAAAAAACTTGAAGTATAATTAGCAATATACACGTTTGATTTCCTCCAGAAGTCTTACCTTCTAAATCTTCCCTTAAGAAAAAATCTGCCAGTACTGCCCAAAAAAGAAACAGAGTGAAAGTAAACATAATAAATAATACATTAGCAGATTTCTGTTTATTAATGGACCAATGAGTTATAAATTACTGTCTGTGCTGAGTAAGTAATCCGTGATGTCAGTCCCATATTCATTCTTGATTGAGCAGCCATATACTCCACAGTCTCTGCTGGAAGCCTGGGCTATGGCCAGGGCCACTGGACTCTCATCCCCAGCACTGAGAGAGAGAAGAAGAGA